ACACAACAGAGTATACAGATTGCAAGTACAGAGAGCAGACACTTCAAAAATTATAATACTGCAGAATGATTTTTAGAAATCAAGATTATCAAGAATCTTGAATGTGATCCAAGTAACCCTCAAATTCCAGACTACTCTTGGTTTCTGGACAAAGGAATTATAAGGAGTCAAGAGTTCAGGTTTTCAAAACACAAGTCAGAATATCTACTCAATGCAAAACACACAAACACGGTAGAAAATCCAACTAAATACAGTAACCAAAGCAGGGCAGTATCCAAACAAGGCAATATCCACACAAGGCAATAAACCGAATCAAGTCAGAACACCCAAAACACAGATTTACAGCTTGATTTACACGAGAATAATTCAAAAAATGGAAAGATCTCACCAAAACCCCTTATTAGGGTTTCAAGAAAAACATGAAGAGCAGCTCAGGTAAACGTCAGTGTCAAAATCGAGTGCACACAGTATCAAGATCTCCCTCCAAGAGCTCTGATACCACTGATGGAAGGAGATCAAACAAATGAGCTCACAAATCAACAATAATATGTATACCAAAAGAAATCAAAAATGAACTGTAAATGATTAACACAATAAACTACAAATAACTCAAACAGAAAGTGAAATCATAAGAACAAGAAACTACGTAATGGAAAAAGAACCGTATCTTGTATTATTCAAAAGCCCACATGCCAAACGTCATACAATCAGTGCCTCAATCTCGAAGAATAGCCACAGTTATGCTTGAATCAAGTCCCAAAGTGAAATACAAAAGTAGACACTCAGACTAGACCAATATCACACAAGTACAAGATCTCTCTTCAACTATAACACACGGTTCACACAAGAACCAACACTCAAATAGAGCAATCACACAAGATTACACACTATTGAGAGAAAACCAGAAATCAAATGAGTATATTTGATTTCTACAGAAGAAAAAAAGAGGTCACAAGAGAACGGCGCAAAGAGCACAGAGAAAATGGAAGAGTCTCGAAGTCAGAAGTGTAGAACTCAAACCCTAGAAGCCCTTTTAAAAGAGTCACTTATCAGTCACCAATCCAACGGTATTGGAGGCGACATGTGGTGACATCTGAGGCGTCCAAAATCAAGTAAGTGAAACACAACTTTCAACCATTTCTCAAAACACGTTTTTTCACCAGGTAAACATATTTTAGTTAGTTGGGCTTCAATTAATTCCAGCTGGGCCAACTCAATAGGCCCAATGGGTCATTGCATCATTGTGCCAATATTCCTTTCTAGCACGAATCCATTAAAACCAACAAAATAAATTATCTCCCACTCGGCTGCATAAAGTTTACCTGGCATATATCATCGAGTTTATCAACCCAGTTACCCCTTTGACAACTCTGAACAGTATAGCTTCTGCACTCATGGAACAATTTTGACAAACTTGAGTTTGCGGAGAGGGTGGCCTCTACAATTATTAGTCCTGCACCCAACTAAAATTTCAGAACATTAGACATCGACGGATGAAAATATAGCATTAGTATTCCATGATTTAGAAACCATTTACAAGCGCAGGTTGTTACGCATTTTGTATAGCATAAATTATACCGCAGTGTACGTTGTCAAATTTTGTAATACATGAAAAGAATTAGAATGGCCTTAGGGTTGATATTTAATTCCTACTAAATACTATAATTATTTTAGTTTTTACTTTATCTAGAAAATAAAGTTTAGAATCAATGTTTTTATACTAATCTAACGTGAATGTGGTGGCAGTTCAAATAAAATAAGACAAATTATAAGAGATTTATCAACGTGAGAAAACCTTGGGACTGACTTTACTGCACTATCAACAATGCTTCTCAACTTTTATAGTTACTTCTATGAAGTTTTTCTAAATTTATAGACAATAACCCTAAATTAATTTTATTCCCTCTCTTGAGTGCCGGATAGAACCAATCTCTATATTTTAATTCTAATATATCTATTCCGAATTAAATATCTAGAAATTATCAAGAACGTGGTTCTTAAATGGAATAAGCCTCAAAGATTTCATATTTTTTTCTCAAAACCTACAAAATTTAGGTTATGTTATTCTTAGATCACACCTTAATCTCTCTCTCTTTCTAGTATCGAGATTTAAAGTATTAAATCATCCAACTATTGATCAAGTAATTAAAAGCAATGCGCAAGAATCAACACAAATAAACTAACGAAAAAATCTTAAGAAATGACTATGAGCTTGTTTGGGAGAGATTTTTGGAGGAAGAATTGATTTTAAATAGTGATATGATGGGAAATGTGTGGTTGAAAAAGAAGAGAAAATTATTGATATGATGGAAACTATTATTTTATTGAAGAATGTGTGGTTGAAAATGAGAATTGATTTACTGTAGAAAAATTTAATCCCTTCCAAACAGGGCCTATATTAGAATCCAAACATGTCGATAGTTAGGTTACATCAAATCCTAGATCTAGAATTTAGTTCGTGATTAAGAGAAAATACATAATCCAATCTAATATAAAGAACATGGAGAAGAAAAGAATGAGAAAAACTGATTTGCCGTGTGAAATCTCCCCCTTGATGTTGTCTTTGTTGCTCTCAATCAATCTCTTGTTCCTTTGCTTATTGCATCGATCAACCCCCAAAAGTAGGTCTTCAAATTTGAATTTATAGTCCCTTCCAGTTTCAAGACGAGTTGGGGTTGGACAGGGTCGAAAACTTTGTAAAAAAATATGATTTTTTTAACCTTGGGAGGCGGCGCCGCAGCGCCCATGGCTGGTGCTACAGCGCTGCGATGGAATCATTTGCTGGCGCAGTGCCCGTGGCTGGCGCCAAAGTGCCAGCAATTCTGCTGATTTCTGTTATGGCTGGGCGCCGCATTCTGTTGATTTTCTGGCTGTTTCTTGGGCGCCTAGGCGCCCATACGTTTCCTTCACTTTTGCTCTCATTTCCTTGCCTCTTTCCCACTTTATTTTTCTCCTTTCATCTCCCACTTCCATGATCAACAATTTAGCTTCATTCCAAGCTCAAAAATATGTCATTTTCTCCAAGTTACCTAAACTACAAAACAACATAAACAAATACATCAAAACACTCAAAAGTACTCAAGAACAAACCGAAAACTATGTTTTAGAGGTGCTAGTTCAATGAGTGAATTACACTCATCACATCTCATATGAGTGTGCTTGTAATTGGGCACTAAAATCCACTGGTGGCTTAAGACATGATCTTCAAGAGCAAGCAGGTTCTTTGCTAAAATATAAGAGTTTTTCTTCCTTTTAAAGGCTACCAATATGTAAGTTTCTTTAAGACGTACTACTTCGACATCATAAAAGTACCTGGTGGACAAATAACATATTCTAAGATGAGAAAATTCCAGTAAGAGAACCCTTCCAAAGATGAAGATTTTAGTATAAATATGCCTCCACAAAATAATATAATAATCAAATTAGCTTTACAAGATTCACTGACGTTGCTTGTACACAGTAATATCCCTGGTACGTGATAACTTAAGCATATGAATTTCCCCTTGAGTTATCCCTGAATGTTCTGTAGCCTGATACCGAAATATCATTAATGCTAGAAGACCCCAAGTCTTGTCCTTCCCTATAACCCTTCATTCCTGCCAGCTGCAAATCCTATAATGACTACATCACTAGCAGCAGAATGGCCGTGCAGCTATACAATATGTTTAATTAAGTTGGAAGTTCAAACTTCTTTGCTGTAAAGGTACATGAGGTTTAACCCACAAGGAAATGCAAGATTAATAAACGGCAGACCCAACACCCAAAATCCCAACACCTATTTGCAGTATTCTTCATCATCTATCCAGTTGCTCAGTGTTGAATGTTCCTTGATATGATAAATAAGCTTTTTAAATCTCGACCTTATTGATTTGATCATGTAAGGATTCACACTGATAGCTTACAGGGGGCATGTTAAGTTGCCTTATCTTTCTCTCAGCTCCTGTATTATTTATACTTGTCCACGGAACAATATACCTTGGGTATAAAACATAAGTTACATGTAATGCACAAAGAAAGAAAAAACTCTGAGATCCAGATTAGTGGTGCAAACAAGCATCTAAAGTTTCCTCCAAAATGATATGGAAAAGAAATCACAGAAAAGGATCTATTTTTCCATCAAGCCATATGTGTGAAGACTGAACTGGAGTGAGATTACAGGAACACTGCATGAGACGGTTTGATTGCACAGTCACTGAAGGTCCTCTACAAGCTGCGAGGCAGATTTAGCGCTACGCCCTTCCCTTAGAGCCTCATGTAAGAAAATCTGAAACGATCTAAACATGCAAAACAATCATATATAGCAATTAGATCAACGCGGAA